ACATCGTAGGCTGCCGAGTGCCCTTAACCGTGGCTGTAACTTCCTGCCTGGCCCCGGCCTTCTCCCCTACAGAGAAGAAGCAGGAAGTGTAGGTCCCCTCCCCAAGCCCATTTCCTCTGTCAGGGCCCCTGCCACCTTCCTCCAGGGTGACATCTGGCCCTTAGAACCTCCCAGCCCCCAGCATCTCCCAGGGGGGTCCTCTCTGTTGATGGCGTGGAGCTTCTCAGATGCTCATTAGCCAGGAAGATAATTAAGGGCGAGCGATGAGTTCACCCTGGCTCCCTGGGGCTTGCTGAGACCCAGCTGGGCCTGCCCTGTGCCAGCCTGGCCCTGTGCCCGCTTCCCTGGGGTGCTGGAGGGGCCGGAACCAGGGAGGGGCTTTCTGGGGAGCAGAGAGGTGTCGGCCAGCTGACTCCAGCTGGGCTTCCCTGCTTAGCCACAGCTATCAGGCTGGGTCTCCTCCCAAAAGGGTTCCAGGCCTAAATACAACTGGAAACGGCTGGGCCTTCGGGCCGTTTCCCAAAGGGAAAGGTGACCCATTGGTGAGGTCTGCAGGGTGGGGTTAGGTAGGGCACAGAGAAGCCGTCACGTAGCTCTGAATCACACAGCCATTGTCTGGTTCAAGGGGAAGAAGCTTCACCTCCTGTTACACAGCTGTAACATCCCCTGAAGGCTGGCTCAGCCCCTTGTCACCCGGAGAGAGCAGACCCTGGGCTCAGAATCTTGCTCTGTCTACACCCTCGACCTAGAACTTAATAGCGTGTCTCTCTCTGCCTATGTATGTTTGCAGTTACTTTCTCTTTGTGGCACAGGCATTGCTTTGCCATTGATGATAGTGATATACCCATAGCTTATTACATCACCCTAATATTTAGTGGGGTGGGAAGAGTGAGTCACCTTGAAGCAGAATGTAACGGAAGATAAGTGTAGAGGTGACACGGGAACAGGGAAGCAAGGGGACGGTGGCAGATGGTTGGATGAGGTGGGGAACCTGTCCAGCCGGCCAGAACTCAGGTTAGGAACCCCAGGTGCACAGAATTGCGGGCACATCATAATCCAGATCATGGTGTATCCTCTTTGGTCCTTGCAGGACCTGCTCTCGTTTTCTTGAATATTTTTTAAGGGTTTATTGATTTTTGAGAGAGAGAAAGAGAGTGCACGAGCAGGGAGGGGCAGAGAGACGGGGAGACAGAATCCGAAGCAGGCTCCAGGCTCTGAGCTGTCAGCACAGAGCCCGACGCGGGGCTGAACCCACAAACCGTGAGATCACAACCTGAGCTGAAGTTGGATGTTTAACCGACTGAGCTACCCAAGCCCCCTTAAAAATTGCCATAATTATTTTAGTCGCATACTACGCCCATCCATCAAAAGCTAGGACCCTAACAACGGCCAACATCTAATCCCAAGGCAGCCCTCCCATCCCTGCCTTGTATCCTGTCTGTCTCTCAGCCTGCTTTCCCTTTTGATTGGTTTTATCATACCCACATCCTAAAAAATATACAGGCACACGGTGGAGATATTGTCGATTTTTTCCAGACCGATGTAGTAAAGCAAATACCGCAATAAAGCGAGTCAGATGCATATTTTTTTTTTGGCTTCCCAGGGCATGTAAGAGTTATGTCTACACCACACTGGAGCCTATTAAGTGCGCAGTAATATTAGGTCTAAAAAAACGATGCACATGCCTTTAGCAATTCTAAAAACACACTAGCCATCGTCTGAGCTTTCAGTGCGTCATAACCTTTCTGCTGGTGGAGGGTCTTGCCTCGATGTTGATGGCTGGTGGCTGCTGAAGGTGGGGGTGGTGGCTCTGGTAGTTTCTTAAAATGAGACAACAGTGAAGTTTGCCGCATCGATGGCTTTCCTTTCAAGAACAATTTCTCTGTAGCACGTGACGCTCCTCGCGAGCATGTCACCCACATTGTAGAGCTTCTGTCCAAACTGGAGTCAGTCCTCCAAACCCCGCTGCTCCCTCCTCCACTCGGTCTCTGGAATATTCTCGATCCCTTGTTGTCGTTTCAACCATCTGCACGGCATCTTCACCAGGAGTAGATTCCATCTCAAGGAACCACTTTCTTTGGTCCTTCATAGGAAGCAGCTCCTCATCCGTTAAGGTTTTATCATGACACTGCCGCAATCCAAACAGAACAATAATGAAAAGGTGCGGAACATTGCAAGAATTACCAGAATGTGACACAGAGACACAAAGCGAACAGATGCTGTTGGGGAAAAAGGCACCCATAGACTTGCTCAGCACAGGGTTGCCACGAACTTTCAGTTTGTAAAAAAAAAAAACCACAGTGTCCGTGATGCACAGTGAAGCGAAGCGTGAGAAAACAAGTTCTCCCTGTGTTTTTAATTTTAGCTTCTTCTCGCTAACTTTATTAGAAGAGTGTATTAGCTTCTTGGGGCCGCTGGGACGCATAACCACAAACCTGGCGGCTTAAGACCATAGAAATTTATTCTCTCTCAGCCCAGGAGGCCAGAGATCTGATATCAAGGTGTCGGCAGGGCC